ATATGATTGTTTCACAAACATGCATCAAATAAATGTAACAATGAGCTCATAAGATTGTGCAGGGATAAACTTGATGTTAGTTGAAAACAAAAGTTAATTTAAAAGAAAATTGTTAATAGTACTCTTCCTAACACTCGTTTAGTAAATTGAAACATGTAAATGCAGTTAATGAAGAAGGGAAAGAATCCAAATCAATGAAGATCGAACCAATGCATCCCTCCCATTAATATATGAAAAAAGGGGAAATTTTCACAATCAACATCAAATTAACGCATCGCTCGCCTCAGTCAAGATAGAAAAATAAAAAATTAAAACAGAAGTTGAGCCACAAATTCTGCGGCACATTTTTCACCCTACTGCAGCAAGCCATGAAAAAATAAAAAATCTATACACATAAACACAAAAAAGTAGTAATAACCGTATTGATACTAATTCGGAAAAACAGAAGCTCATTCTTTTTTGATAAATTTCATATGATTATTAGAATGTACATTCCTTAAATAATTATTAATATCACCGTATAAAAAACTCCAATAAATTATGCAGCAATGACTTCTGCAACTTTAACGCAATACAAGCAAACAAAATATGCTTTTTCAATTTGTATTTTTATTTTTACTAAAAATGGAATAAGAAAAATGAGCAAACTAAACAATATCTTAATTACCAATACTAATCAGCATAATTGGTCGCAACTTGTATCTTTTAGCTAAATAATTCATGCAATCTAATATGTTTAAAGAAGTTTTGAAATCTCTTAAACATTAATATTTGACAAGAAAAATAAAAGAAAGTAAAGAATGCAAACTAGACATGTTCTTATGTGAAAGTTTGGGTGAACACTTGTGAGTCTCCCAACACATTTTCACAAGCACTAAAAGATTTACTAAGCAAAAATACAAACAAATTGAAAGTTTTGCGTAGATACTTAAAACCTTTCAAAATCACTTCCACATAAAAGACCCTTTAAAAGACAAGAATTAAAAGCTAAAAACCAAAAACAAATTAAGGCTACAAGTCTTCAAAGTCTTTAAATCTTCTCCTGCACAATGAATAAACTCATGAGTGTAAGAATCTTCTATTATTTTCTCTCCTCTCCAGGGTGTTTGGTCTTCAAGCTCTTCTAAAAGATAGTTTCTCGCAAGGAGTCAACCCTCTTAGGCCTTTATCAACATTCCAAGATGTTACCTTGTGACAAGTAGCTTGATTACCTTTGCAAGAAATTTGCAAAACAAAACAATACTAGAGAAAATTTTAGAATAAAATCAACAAAGGTACAATTAAAAATAGTTAAAGTTAGGAAGTAGGCGTGACAAACTTTGTAAGAATTAGGCAAGCAAAAATTAAAGTACAATTTAGAAGCTAAAACATCAAAAGAGTAGTCCTAAGATTGATTCTAAATTTGGCTTACAAAAGTAAGAAAGACTTAAATCTATTTCCAAATTAAATGCAAATTTACATGAAATGAAATGTGATAAATATTGTTTTTAAAAACTTTTCACAAAATGTTCCACATTTTTTTATATCACAAATATTTTTCTTTTTTCTTGTAATTTCTTTTCTATTTTTTTTTACACTTTTGTTTTTATTTCTTTTGGAGTTATTTTGTGACAACTTTCTTTTTGTTCTAGGTATTGTATATATGTCACAAAATCTTCCAAAAATAAGAATACAAAAATTGCAAAAAAATTAGTAGAGAAAATTCAAAAGAACTCCAAAAATTGGTGACAATTTGGTTATTACTCTTGTTTTTACTTAGGCCTTCAATTTTCAACACTTTTGAACTTCAAAAAGAGAGTTTAAATGTTACACTACTACAACCTCAAGAGTTTTAATGCTTCACCAAATTTTGAAATCAATTTGAATCATAAAAAATTCAAGGAAACAATAAATACTGAAAATTACAAGACATGCGGAAACCTAACTCTACTAAGAACATATATTAATGATCTAATAAGATGCAAGAACTCTATAAACCAAAAAGAACAAAAAAAGCTTGTCAACACAATATAGTATGTGTTTAGCAAGATTCAAAAACAAAAAGGACTACTAGAAGTGATGACAAAATAATGACTAAACATGACATCTACAACATAAGCATTTGTATATATTTCAAAAGAAACATGACACATACATCACACGAACAGAGCATCGTGTTTCATACACCATATTAGACATCAAAAAAAAAAAGAGAAAAACTTATAGAACAAGAATCCTAAGGTAATATACAAAGATTTGGTTCATAAAAACTAATACTAAAAAAATTTTAACCAAAATTTGTCAAGACATTTTATATCTATCATATATCATTCAAACAATTAGATCTAAACAACAAACATACTACAAGACATATAAAGAAGACTAAAACAAGACGAAAATGTTAAGAGTAAATCTCTAAGGAAGAACCAAAACTCATGATAACAAATATGATGAAACCAATTTATAGATGATTGTGGATTCTCTTCAACTAGCTTCTAGGTGTTCCCAGTATTCTTCCATGGATCTTTAAACATAAAAATAAATTTGCAAATGGTGTAGGAGGAGGAGGTTAAGGTGCATCACTTCAAAGTGAAGATGAACAAGAGAGGAAGAACTTGCCACAAGGAGGGTTTTTTTTTATAAAAGTTCATAAAGAGAGAATTTCTCCAAGAGAGAGAACTAGACTTTTGAAAAAGAAAACTCAATGTTATTTCTCATAAAATGCTCAAAAATGGCATATACATAGGAGAGAAAGATACATGTAGAGTTTGGTTAACTTATGTGCAAGTTAGACTAGCCTTGGTTAAGTGCAATTAAGATTAGTTAACTTGTACTAAAGATAACCAACTCTACTTACATGTTTGGTGTAACAAGACAATGTCATGTGGTTTATAGGTGTCTTGAATGGACCATGAGACACCTTGTCCTCTCCATGAAAGTAACATCTAACCTTCTTGTCTCAAGCAAGTGGATGACCATCTCTTTGGACCATGTGTCCAAGAAGGTACTCATGGGCCATTCAAATCCAATAACTCCATATCTCATTTCTAGTTACACCTGTTAAAATACTAATAACAAAGAAATAAATACTTATACTACTTGACCTAAAACTACAAGGTCAAAATTAAGAAAATATTTAAAAGAAAAATATACACAGAAGAAAAAGTAAGCTACTAAAAGTGACCAAAAGTTCAATAAGAACTTGGACTTTCTTCCTTCAAATCTAACCCATTTCTCTTAGTTCTTTTAGGACTTGGCCTCTTAGCATGATGTCATCATGATGGCATTCATTAGGAGATATATTTTTCTCACATTGAGTTTTCTTGATACGAAAAAAATGTGAAAATAAGAAGGAGAGACAAGAAATATGAGGCACGAAATAAATATCGTCATTTGGTTCAAGCAAGTTTTATCAAGTGAGAAATTTTAAGTTGTGAACCCCACATCTTTTTAGATGTGAAATTGAAGAGAGGTGTTGTGTTACCTTCGAACGTATTCAATTGCGCATATGATTTATATGATTCTATATGTATTGTATTTGATTGACCAATTGTGCATGTGGTTTATTCGATTGGATAAGGACCATATTTGATTATGGGTATATAATCAGTTATAACAAATTAAGTTTATAAATTTTTACTAAGTTTAAAAGCTATTTGACACTTTGTTACATAAATTTAAATTAATATATGATATATTTTTGTGAAATAACCATTAATTTAAATTTATGTAACAAAGTATCATATAACTTTTAAACTTTGAAAAAATGTGTATATTTTATTAAAAACTTTTAATTTAACTGTTTGATTGTTGAAAGTTAATGTAAACTATGAATTATTTAGTATCAAGAGTTACTCCTATAATAGGTATTCACTTCTTAGTATTAAATAACTTATGGTTTACATTGATTTTGAATGATCCAACACTTATAAAGTTGAAAGTTTCTCCTTTAAAAAAAAGTTAAAAGTCCCTATCAAATTGATGAAGTTTACAAATTTCTATAAAAAATATTTGACCTCAAAATTCTATAAAATTTTAAAATTATTTAATACATTAATTCAAATTCAAATTAACATATATTCGTAAGAGTTACTCTTACATTGTAATTGGTTGTGATGAGAGAAATAAGTGAGAAATATGGTGAAAAAATAAAAAAGAGAGAAATAAGTGAGTAAAAATAGGTAAGAAATATGATAAAAATAAAATTATTTGGTTTGAGAGAAATAAGTAAGAAATAAAAAAGAAATAATATTATAAAGATATTTGATTTGAATGACAAAAATAAAAAAATTATAATTAAATAACAATATCAACCTTTAAGTTATGTATCCAATAAAATTATTGTTTATTTTAATAAGCAACATGTTAATTTGAATAAAACAATGTTTTCGAAGTGGTTTATTCAAACAAACAAGTCATTTATTCGAATAAAATTTCAAAATATAAGAACTTATTCAAATAACAAACAAATCACATTCCAATAAAGTAAGTCATTTAAATAAAATAAATATATTCAAATAAAAACACCAAATTTAAATAAATTATCCTCTTATTCAAATACCAAACAAATTATTTGAATAAAAATTACCATACATTTGAATAAAGGGATCCACATTTTAAAGAATAGCAGTGTAAATACAAAATAACCTCAATCTCTCCTCCTATTTTCACTCATTTTTGCAGAAAAATATAAAATCGTAAGTTTTATGTATGTAAAAATTTTTCTCTAATTTATCTCTTGCTAAACAAGCCAACAAAATTATGTCTTCCCATCTATTATTATAGTCTCCCGTTATTTGCTTTGTATCTTTTTCGTAAAAAACATAATGTTAGAATATAGTAAAAAGATTATTATTATATTTATTAATTATATAAAAATATTTTATTGTAAAAATAAAATATTTGACTATAAGGATTGATGAAAAGAAATTATACATCTTTATTAAAAAAAATTAATAAATATGGAAATAAAATATATTTTAGCGAAAAATATAAGAGCGAGAAAAAAGCAAAGAAGAAAAAATAGTGGGCATCGCAGCGACTGCAAGGAAACCCGAAACCCGAAACCCTGCCTCCACCTCCTCTTGGCCGTTCCATAGCAATCACAGACACTCTACTCACTAACAATGGCGACGCGTGACGGCGGCATGAAGTCGACGTTAATAAACGGCGTCAAGATGTACACCATAGCGTCGCAGCAACCATCGCTCGCTTCCTGGCTCCCCTCTAAGAAGCAGCAATCTCATCGCAACGTCAAAAGTAACTAACCTCTCACCTCTTCTCATTCATTCATTCATTCATTCATTCATTCATTCATTCATTCATTCATTCATTTTTCTTCTTCTTCGTCTTCTCTCACACGCTTCCTCCTTCTCCTTTCAGGTTACACGCAGAACCTTCAACTTCTCGAGGACTTGCGCTTCACCACCGCCGCCACCAAAATCAAGGCCACTCCCAACGCCGAGTATATCATAGCTTCCGGCATTTACCCGCCGCAAGTCAAGGTCTACGAGGTCAGGGAGCTAGGCTTGAAGTTCGAACGCCACTTGGATTCCGAGATTGTTGATTTTCAGGTACTCCATAACTAACCTCGATAAAAATTTAGGTTTATATGTTCCGCTTGTTGCTAAGCCTCACTTTATCTATATCTACATTCGTTCATATTTTCTCTGCGTTTGTAAATTCTAAGCTATTTTATAGTTACAGAGGAACTGCGTAGCTTCAATTCAAATTAAATGTTAGGTTTATTATATAACAGTTCCAGTAGTTGTTGTGCTTCGTTATATTTATGTTTACATTCATTGATAGTGTCTTTCGGTTTGTAAATTGTAAGCGGTCTATTAAAGAGGGATTGCTTGGTTGAGGTTGAGGTAGCTGCAACCGCATAGCTTCAATTGAAATAGAAAGTTAGGTTTATATTCCATAATTTCAATAATTGTTGTGCTTCATTTTGTTTGTTTACATTAGAATGTTTTCTTTGCGTGTAACTTGTAAGCGATCTTTTACCAAGGGTTTGGTTGTTTGAGGTAACTGTGTAGCTTTAATTGAAATAGGATTGTGGAAGAGATAGGTTTATTTTCCCATGATTTTTGTGCTTCCTTTTGTTTATGTTTACAACTTTACCCTGCTTAATGTTTTTGTTGTCTTTGTGAGCTGTAAGCAATCTTTTACAGAGGGATTGGTTGGTTGAGGTAACTTATTAATTTTGCTGGTATAGGTTCTGTCAGATGACTATTCGAAAATTGCATTTTTATGTGCTGATCGCTCTGTTAATCTGCACGCAAAATATGGAAAGCACTACAGTTTGCGGATTCCAAGGTTTTTTCTCTAGGCTTTATGTGTATTGGTTGCTCTTGGGGTTTAATGCGTGATTTGTGCTGAAAAATGGTTGTTCATTGTTGTCATTTGGTAGGATGGGGAGGGATATTGCTTATGACTGCTGGTCTTGTGACTTGCTTTGTGCGGCTTCGTCCCCAGATCTGTACAGAATTAATTTAGAGCAGGTGTTTAGCCTATAACTTTCTGTTTTGATAACATTTTTAGTAGTGTGTAGATACCTTTTTTATATTGGTCGAGTTTTGGGGAAAAAATACGTAAACTGGAAAGCTGCTTTCTCTGACTTGTCAGGGGCGATTTCTCTCCTCACTTACCACACAGTCCCCTGCATTGAATGTAGTATGTCGAAGGTAATTACCGGAACTTAAATATTGATTTACCCTGCTTTATTTTCTTCAATTGTTAAAGCTTAGCATATTTTGTTTATGTACCTTGCAATTATGTATTAAAGCACTGGAATTGAATCTTGTCTTAATTTTAGTAAGCTTCATGGATTAGTTGCCTGTGGTGGAGAAGATGGTGCTGTGGAATGCTTTGACATGCGTGTGAGATCCTCAGTTGGTAGAATTGATGCTGTTGGACCTAGTGGTGATGTTGACCAGGTAGCATTTCTTCTCTCTCACAGTAGCATATTTCAAGGCATTAGAATATTGTGAGAATGGATTAAGATTTTTTTTTATATTTGATGTGCTTGAGCTGTTGTTATAAGGGAAAAATCATGTATGTGACCTGCTGCCCATCTATTTATGCACACAAGTTTCAAATGGGCAGGACAAAATATCCCTTCCTCGTTTCCATATCATAATCAAAATTGAGGTTATAGATTTCTTGGTAAATTTTGTTGTGCAATTAACATCTTTATTATTAATCTTTCCATATTTGTAGGAGGTCACTGCATTGGAGTTTGAGGGAGACGGCGGTTTCATAATGGCTGTTGGAAGTAGTGCTGGAAAGGTATGATGCTACTTACTTGATAGATTGTATGACTTGTGTCGTTATTGGGACAGTTGTGGCAAATTTTGTAGTACTTTCACTGCCCTCTTTGTGATTGAGTTGAACATAGTCTCGACTATATATATATAAGATTGTAAGGAAAGCTTGTATTCATCCCATGATATAGTTTTGCAAATGTGGATGTATACAATTAAGACCAAGCCGGGCTTATGGGCCAACTCTTCCAAAAGCTGAATCTATCAAGTGGAGTTCCATGAATGGTTTTATATCTTTGACAAGGAATTCTACAACATACATTATACTCCATACATTCTTCAGTGACATAAAATAGACATACAGAAACCCCCAATAGTCGAAGTGTGTGGCTTGAAGTTACCTCGTAATGTGCAATGGCCTATTGAGTTTGAGGTGTGGATAATGTGTAGGCCTACTATACCTAGTGCTGAAATTTGATTTTGTAATGAGCAATAAGGGGCACCAAAAATCAAATATTCACAATTTCATCTTTTCTGATTTTGATACCATGTCAAGCACTAAGTCGTATAAAAACTTTAGTTGTTAATTGGAAGTCCAAGAATGGTTTGATATCACTTAACAGGAGGTTTATTACTGGGCCCAAAGAGTAGTTGGATTTTAAAGTGACAGAAGATAAGCTATTGCCTTTTACATGATCCCTAGTTTATTTATATGCTAATGACTAAACCTCAGAGGGTATTAGCTGGTTTAAAAAGTAAACACAAATTGTAGGTAGGACATACTTCTTGTGGCAGCATAGAAGAGGTAGTAGTTTTCTGTATTTTTTTCTAAATGCTATTTATAAGGCAAATCTTTATCACTTCTAGCAGAAAAGGCTCTCCTTGAATCCTGGTGGGAACACAATTTTACTTTCTTAACAAAATTTCCATGTGTATGTTCCCCCTTGAACCTGGATATTTATACAAAATGTAGGTAGGACATACTACTTGTATGAAAATGACTAAACCTCAGAGGGTAGGTAGCTGATTTAAAAAGTAAATACAAAATGTAGGTAGGACATACTGCTTGTGGCAGCATAGAGGACAGAGTAGTTTTCTGTATTTTTTTCTAAATGCTAATTATAAGGCAAATCTTTATCACTTTTAGCAGAAAAGAGGCTCTCCTTGAGTCCTGGTGGAACACAATTTTACTTTTTTAACAAAATTTTCATGTGTATGTTTCCCCTTGAACCTGGATATTTATACATTTAATATTGCATATGCAGGTCCTCATCTATGATCTGCGCTCGTCACATCCCATACGAATACAGGATCATATGTAAGTTGACATCCTCATTTGAAAAATTTATGTTTGTATTAAAAATACATATATCTTTAATTATTGGTGGGTTAAAAATTGTCTTACAGGTATGGCAGTTCAATATTGGATATTAAGTGGCATCGTACTCTTAACTATGAACAACCAATGCTGATTACCAGTGATAATCATGTTGTTAGGATATGGGATCCTGAAACGGTAGAGAATTGGCTCCTACTCTCATATTTCAGATTAATAGTTCAACTGTTTTTCTCCATATTGATCTGTACGCCCGCGTCATGTTTATTTTCATTCATTAAAATTGTGCTTTGTAGTGTCTGTTTTGCATAGGAGAAAGAGTGATCAATAATATTTATTGCGTGTCTTGATTGATTTCAAGAATTCAATTGTGATATGTTGGGACAGCTACGTTCTATATTTTGGAGATAGTCTTTACCAAAATTATCTTAAGGTGTTTTTTCAGCAAATTTCTCCAATCTTTAATTGGTTGGATAAATACGAAAGTTTATTTTTGCCAATTGAAAATGATTTAAATTTATAATAATATTCTATTTATTACCTTCTTATTGTTCACTTGTTAGTCATCACTAAAGAGCTTTTCTTGATAATATGCTTTTGCAATATCTAAACTAAATTGTAAGTGCATAAATATTAATATTATTTTTCAATGAGAACAGAATCTCTTGTTCCTAAACATTTTGGTAATAACTGCATTTAGATTGTATTTTTCATCAGCGTGGGTGTGTGATTAATCAATCTGTTTCCAGGGAGAAGGCTTGACTAGCATTGAGCCAGCAACAGGAACAATAAATGATGTGTGTACATTTCCTGGTAGTGGCTTGATATTGCTGGCCTTGGACTGTAGCCAAATACCATCTTACTTCATACCCTCGCTTGGACCTGCTCCAAAGTGGTGTTCTTCCCTAGAGAATTTCACTGTATGTTCTTATTATTTTGATTATTAGATTTCTGGTCTAGTTATCTTTGTTGTGATATTATAACTATTTTTACAGGAGGAGCTAGACAATAGTGGACAAACAACTATTTATGATCACTACAAATTTTTGACAAAGGAGGAGCTTGAGAGGTTAAATTTGACCAACCTGATTGGCACCAATCTACTTAGAGCCTACATGCATGGGTTCTTTATTAATCATGCATTATACAAAAAGGTTCGTTCTCCTTGACATATTTTCTTATTTACATGTATGTCTTGAGTTATTGAAAAGCTGATATCTTTTCTTCCCTCAAGAGCCTAACTGAATGTTTTACATTTCTAGTTTTTCGGTGAATTTTTTGATCATGTTAAATTAGTAAACGAAAAACTGTTTAATTTACTAGCTTAGTGGAAAAAGACACAGAGTAATTGGCATCTTATGTGTCAAAACATTTAAGAACTGGAGCAAGCTTCATGATGGTGATCCTTTACTTGCCTATATCTCATTTTAATTTATTGCTGTAAGCCATGTATAATTTTACATTGTAAACTGGCTAATTTCCTTTGGAATAACATGTTTGGTATGTTGGATGAACATTGAGTGCTTTCCTTATTGGAGCAGTTTTTCTTGGTTCGTCCCATGCCTTCGGTAGAAAAAGGAGGCCAAATTGTGTCGGTGTGTGGTATGTCTATGGTGTATTGGTTGGAGGGAGATGCTCACATTTTCAAAAATGTCTCTTTGCCCTTAAAATTTGATTTTGCATGGGGCTGTGTTTGTGACTTCTAAGTTCTATCTGATGCTTTGCGCGTAGCTGTTTCAAGGAAGTTTACTTTTCTTGTATGCAAAAAGACTAGATATCTAGATTTTTTCCTTCGTTGTGTTTTGCCTTTTCTGTTTTGGAGGATATCTGATCCTCTGCTTAGTTGTACTTTCTTTGTTTCTCATATATATATATATATATA